CAAAAAGCCCTGCACATGTTGAGTTCTTGTTCCTCTTCCATACCACCAGGATGAAGGACAGCTTTTGGTTATCAAGAGCTATAGCTTAAAATTTATTTCTAATGTCCCTGTTCCAGAAGTACCCAACCCCAAAAGGAATGTGGCCTTCTCTGACCTAACCCTCCCTCCATCGAGTTCAGCTAAACTTTAAGAATTAGGGCTTTGCAAGAGCTTTTTGATCCTCCTACTTGTGAGGAATAGGAGCCTTTTTCCTAATTACCATGTTGCAAAATTGCATCTGGGCTCACGTTTACCTCCAGGACCTCTCTGGCACTTTTTGCTTATCCACTGATTTATCTTACTTGTTAGTCAAGATGTCATTTTGCAGCCAGTCTTTTGCTTTCCTGGGAATCTTCTTGCCTGTGCAGAGGAGCACCGGTAGAAGCATGTTTCCTGGTGGTATTTCATGCTGCTTATGAAACATCCAGTGCTTTCTTCCACCTCTTGTAGGCAATTACAGAGAGGCTCATGGTTCTTAGAAAGTAAACACTTTGGGATGCTGTTTGGGAATCGCTCACTACTGAACTTTTATATAAAAGCATAAATATAAATGCAGAAACAAACAGGAAATAGCATTTATACCTGAAAAAGATACTTAACCAGATCAGCTGTTTGCATAATGCTTGCCTTACCTAGGCCTAAAACACCTGGAACATGCCTTCCTTCACTGCACAAGTGGAGAGGTCTAGAGCTCTGGAAAGTTGACATTAATTCCCTTCCCCACCCTTCATAACTAGGGTAAAGTCTCAGTAAAGGTCTTCTGTACCTGGCCTCAAAGCAGAGCATGGAAGCCTGCGCTGAGTGTCTTGGCTCTGTCTCACGGGAGAGCTGGGAGAAGGGAATTAAAACAGCCAGTTTGCTGAGGAAAGAGCTGCCAGGTCTAGTTAGCAGGGAAGCAGCATGAACAGAGGTGTTGTAAAGCTGGAATTATGTGTCTGGGTTACAAGAAGGCACTCTACACCAGTTTTTAATTCCCTTCAAAGTGTGAATGTGTAGAGTTTGGATGACTGAGTAGAGACAGGTGATGGAGGAGGTTGTGTTCAGGTTCTTGCCACTAGTCAGAAATGGGATGTTCAAGGTCCTGTTCTCATTTCCCTTCCTGCATCCAACCCGAGTGCCTTAATCACTAAGTTATAAACTGTATGTACCACATCCCCCACCTCTGTCCATCTCCTGTTCGCACAAAAGCAGCATGACCACTTTCTCAGGTATTTATTTGCCCCAAAGGGTAGATCTGGGGTCCTGGTCCAGGCTTCCAGCACTGCTAGATCATCTGACATGAGGCTGTATTAAAGCCTCGTTCATTAATTATTACATTTATGTCTCTGAATGCACACAGTTTTTAGCTTGTGAGGAGGGGGACATACTCAGGTTGGTGACTAGAACAGCTTGCCTAAGGCTGCCTACGGAGAGCATGTGGTGCTGCTTCAGAAATAAATTGTTGGATGACAACTTTTTGAGAGGGATGTAGACAAGAATGCGTGAGCAATGATGGAGGGGGAGAGGGGCTCTGGCTGATGAATTAATCATTAAAGCTGTTCTGTGTCATCCTACCAAGGCTGTTTTCTGGGGTTTTGGGTTGTTTGGTTTGGAGTTTCTGGGGTTTTTTTGCTGTTTGGGTTTGTTTGAGTTTTTTTTTTTTTTAACCCTTAGTTAACAAACATGGACACTATTGGAACAAGCTCTAGGAAGATGAGGAAGTTAAGACGGAATAAAGGATAGGTGGTAAATTATCCTTTAATTCCTTACTGTTATGCAGGCTAGCCTACCTGGTCTGCTTGTGCTTTCTCCAGTCACTGCAGGCACCTAGCAAAGGAAATGCCATGAAGAAATGAGGTTCTGTGACTTCCAACTGTGGCAAAATGGCATAAAACCAATGTGGTTTCCCAAAACTACTGGTCAGCACGTGTTTAGCACTTGATCTGGAAATCACAGATTAAACAACATACAGAGTACTCATTTCCTTTTTCCCAGATAGGTCAGCTTAATGAACTGTACTTCAAATAGTGCATTAAATATTTGCATGCTCTGTTTGAGAGCTGGCACAACATCTCGATAATCAGCTGGCCTATAGTTGTTCTCTCAAGTGAGTCTGTTCATTGAAGTTCTCAGTCTGGAGCCAAAATGAGAACTGTACATCCTCGTACTGAACTAAATGCATAGATACTATTCTTTAGCCAATTCATTTTCTGGGAACCACCTTATAAGGGTTCTGGTACAGCATTAGGATTGAAGCAAATACACTAGAAACAAGCTTCAGCAGCTTATAATGCTTTTGCTTTCTGTGAATGCACATGTCCCAAATCTTCCTTTATTCATAGAGTCATAGAATGGCTTGAGTGGGAAGGGACCTTAAAGACCATCCAGTTCCAACCCCCCTGCCATGGGCAGGGACACCTTCCACTAGACCAGGTTGCTCAAAGCCTCATCCAGCCTGGCCTTGAACACTTCCAGGGATGGGGCATTCACAGCTTCTCTGGGCAACCTGTTAGTTTTCATAGTAAACCGTTTCCCTTCTTACAGTTTTCATATTTCTTGTGTTATCCTGAGAGCCAATATCAGTGGGGACCTGGGGTTCTTTCAGGCTGTCTTCATGAGCAATAAACTTGTAAAAAAACACTTCTGTTTGCTAAGTTCCTGCCCTGTAAAGTTGCTTGAAGTAATCGAGATACTGAATAAGAAAGGTTGTAAGGAGGAAATTAATTTTACAGGAGGTCTTTCTCACTGCTTATGGACCTGAGGAATGCTTCTTACCAAAAGTGACCATTTGCCCATTATAATTCCAACACACTGAGGGCAGAAGGCTCCATCTGCTCCCCCAGAAAACTGCAGGGAAGTCTGGTTGAATGTGTGCCCTATGGAATGCAAGTGATATTGCCACTAGTGGAAAAAGTGCTACGAAATATGTACCCACATTTAACAATCATAGTCACAAGCGTGGGAAAACAGCATGAAGAATCTTCAAATACCTGAAATACGAAGATGCTGCTGCCCTGTGCGGTGGGAGAGATGAATCCCTGGAGTGTTGGGATGCAGGCAATTAACGCTATCAACAGGGAATCCAATTTTCCTTCTGCTCTTCAAAAGACTTGGGTACTGAGCAAGGTGGCTTCAGCCTTCAAGTCGCACGGCAGCACTGTGGGAAACACAGGAGGATTTGGGTGTAGCGCAAGGAACCTCGTAAGCAGGGGAGTTGGAATTAGATGGTCTTTAAGGTCCCTTCCAACCCAAACCGTTCTGTGATTCCATGAAATGCGCAATATTTCTATTTCTTATGTTTTCATCCATAAACCTTAGAAAGCATGTTCTGTATTTATTGTGTAATATCTTGAGGGTTTTTGTTTCAGGTTAAAAAAGAAGTTGGCGACGTTAGCATCCTGGTCAACAACGCCGGCATTGTAACTGGGAAGAGGTTTCTTGATTGTCCAGATTCACTTGTGGAAAAAACCATGGAAGTGAACATAATGGCACACTTCTGGGTAACACCTGCACTTTGCATATGAATACTAAAACATCCTTTAACATGTTTTCAGTGTTGATTTTGCCTTTTGGAATTAAGGAAGATGTGCAACAATGTTTGTAACTCCCTGTAAGTTCAGTCAGAAATGATAGAAGAAATCACTTTCTATGCCTGGGAGTCTGTAAAATAAAAAAGGGTGGAAAAATGGATCCTTTGGGAACTTCTGGGGTAGGTAGGTGTAAGCAAAACTGCTTCATAATTAGAAATGCTCTGAAGAACTGAAGTTTACCATCTGCTAAATTCTGAAACTAGTCATGTGTTACAATCCCTCAGTATTAATTGACATGAAGTAGGCCCAGCCCTGTACTAACAGAGAAGGTTTCAGTTCTGTTAGTGTTCTAGCTGCTCTGTGGTTATGATAGTTTCAGTAAGAAATACCACATGTTCAGACAGTGCTCTTAGTAATTAAGTGGGGCTTTTGTCCAAAATGAGTAACTTCGTGTGCTTTTTCTTCCTTCCAGGGAAGGCAGGTCATCTGTAGGGTATTTCCATCATGAAGAATTGCAAAGGGGATATTAAAACATGTTTCAGTTTCTTCATAAATAAATGTAATCGCAAAGATTTAATTAATTTAGTAGAAGGAAGACACAAAATTCAGATTTTTGCCATTTTACAAAATTTTCAGTGACCACTTCATTCTCATTTGAAAGATTGCAGTGCTGAGCTTCGGGTTGAAAGATATTTAAGAACCAGCTGAAGCTCTGTCTTTAGCTTTCAGCAAGTTACCATCTGTCTTTGTTGAGGAGACAGTGGTACTGGTGGGGCCTGGAAGGTCCCAGCTCGGTGGGTGAAGGTTCGAGTTCAAGCAACAAATTTTTTTTTTTTCCCCCTCTTTTCCATAGTGAGAAGGGGGTGAAGCTTATTTAGACCATAGGGAAAATTTCTTTAAAAAGTCCACCTTCAAAACATTATAGCAAGTAGCTTACTTGGTAAAATGTTTCACTCTAACTCTGACTTGCATTGCAGACCTACAAAGCCTTCCTCCCAGCAATGATAGCCTCTAACCACGGACACTTGGTCAGTATTGCAAGCTCAGCGGGACTGACTGGAGTCAATCGCCTTTCAGGTAGTGTGTTAAAGCTAAACTTCACTTTAGACAATTAGTTTGATCAAAACTCTGTAAATCAGTACTCATGAAAAACACCCTAATTTTGACTTTGTGGGTCTTTGTGTACAGGTAAAGCAAATGGTCAAACTTTCAAACCAGCTGACCTTACATAAACCATTCCATTCCAAAGAGTTTTCCAGAAGCTCAGCAGTGCCGTGAAAGAGGTATTTCTGCCAAGGCACTTAGAGGATCTGGGAGCCATACAGAACTTTGGAAACTGAGAACTTCAGTGTTGCTAACCTGCAGATATTTGGTGGGGAAGAGGCCACCTTTTTGTTTTCCAAGCATGTTCTCAAGCTAAGCAGAGTCCTGTACAGATCTCCGTATCTCAAACTACTAAAATCCAGATGTGGTAGAGAAGCAGGGGTGTGATATCTCATTTTGCAATTGCTGTCTCAGCCTGTCATGGTTGAGGCCCAACCGGCAACAAAAGATGATGCAGCTGCTCGCTCACTCCTTCCCTGGGTGGGAGGAGAAGGAGAAAATACAAGGAAAGGCTTATGGGTTGAGATGAGGACCAGGAGGGATCACTCACCAGTTACAGTCATGGACTCGGGGAAAGTCAACTATGGTAAACTTGAGGGGAAAAAATCAATTTAATTAGTTACCAATCAAATCCAAGTAGGACAATGAGAGGCAAAAACCACAAGGATCTTAAAAACCCCTTCCCTCCAGCCCTCCCTTCTTCCCAAGAGGAGCTCTGTTCCTGACTGCTTTACCTCCTCCCTACCAGCAGCACAGGGGGATGGGGAATGGGGGCTGTGGTCAGTCCATCACACGTTGTCTCTGTTGCTCCCTCCTCCTCAGGGGGAGGGATCCTCACACTCTGCCCCTGCTCCAGCCTGGGGTCCTTCCTATGGGAGACAGTCCTCCACCAACTTCTCCAACGTGAGTCCTTCCCACGGGCTGCAGTTCTTCATGAACTGCATCAGCGTGGGTCCCTCCCACAGGGTGCAGTCCTTCAGGAGCAGCCTGCTCCAGCCTGGGCTTCCCATGGGATCACAGCCTCCTTCAGGCATCCCCCTGTCCCAGCATGGGGTCCTCCCTGGGCTGCAGGTGGGTCTCTGCTGCCCCATGACCCCCCATGGCTGCAGGGCACAGCCGACCTCACCATGGGCTGCGAGGGAACCTCTGCTCCAGCCACCTCCTCCTCACCTTTCTCCACTGACCTGAGTGTCTGCCTGGCTGTCTCTCTCACATCCCACTCCTCTCTCCACTGCAGGGCTCTTTCTTTTCCCCTCTTAAATGTGTTAATTCACTGAGGAGCCCGGCTGTAGGGAGTGCAAATGTGCTTGGAGGGATGTGTGAGAAACCCTCTGTCAGCCAGTTGCGAACAACAGTGAACTTAGGAGAGGGAGAGTAAAGGACTGAATCACATCAAAGGCAAATGTTATTAGTAACCTAATCCTGAAAACACTTCCTACTCTGTTGTGAAGTATTTTATCGTTGGACAGTAGTTTCCTGTAGGTGCTGTGTAGGTATCATTTCTGTACCACAGTGCTGCTGTTGTATACCAGAAAATAACCCCCGTGGCTAGTTAGTTTACTTACTAGACCATAGTTTTGTTCCTCTGTCAAAACCTGTTACTGCTCCTGTGTACACGATCGGTGGTAGGACTCACTGAACCTGTTTAGTAACGTCTAATTAGTAAATTAAAATGTTAAACTGCAATTAATGTATTACTTATTTTGCAGATTACTGTGCAAGTAAATTTGCAGCAGTTGGCTTCGCGGAGTCGGTTGATTTAGAGATGAGAGATCTGCGAAAGTCTGGTGTTAAAACCACAATTGTGTGTCCTTTCTTCATAAACACAGGAATGTTTGATGGCTGTCAAACCAAGTGAGTAAACTCTTAGGAGGTTTTTATGCAACTTTTAGCATGTTACGTAGTCCTAGTTCCTTTATGGAAATCGTGAGCTAGGCTTTTCTCTGCTTGTGTTACTTCTATGGCCTCAGATGGGTGTTAACTGCTACCCAGTGACTGGGCAACCCCAGTGGCAAAGCCCTTGGTACCTTACTACTCATTTAAGCTGAAATGTGAAATGTAATCTGTGTCCTGTCCTCTGCAGAAGCCAAATGCTCCAGCTGACAGCTTTGGTTTCTAAACCCCGTGCGCCTCCTGAAGTCAGTGGCAGAGCTTTGCTCAGTATGCCCGTGCAAGGACACAGTTCAGGAGCCGAGTAACAGCCTAGTGCCTCTTAATGAGGACTACGTGGATTTGTCTTACAAGGGATTGCACTCAGGGAGAGTAACAACGGCCACTCACTCTCTGACGTGATGAAGGTTCTGTTGTTCACGGGATGTGTCGTATTTATTTCTTCTTTTAGTTGAATAACTGCAAAATGGAGGCTTATTTTGAGTAAAATGTGAATCCAAAGTGATTTGTGTTATAGTAAGAAATGTCTTCCCTTCCAGGTGGCCAAATCTGCTTCCCACTCTGGAGCCAGAGTATGTGGCTGAGAAGATAATCACTGCTATTCGACGGAACCAGGAAATGTTGCTGCTACCACGCAGTCTTTATTTTATATTTGCTTTCAAAAAGTAAGTTATGCTATTCTTCCTTTTCCTCTCTCTCTTCTTCTGTCCAGTCATGTTTCAGCTAGGTTTTTGACTAAAAGTGCAAACCAGGCTTCTCCTTCCTGGGGTGAATTTTCATTAAGTTCTGCACGTTTCTGGAAGTTTGGGTTTTTTTACCCAATTCTAGGGGTTCAGCCTACCCTTGGGCCACAGAACAGTGACAGAAATGTCTAACTGTGACTTGCTGACCCCATTGGGGTGCAGTCTTACTGCGGGCTGCAGAGACTGGGCCTGCTCCTCAGTAACTGCGTATCTGGTGTCTTGCCCCCCAGCATTAGGGACGTTCTGACTCTGTGGAAAGCCAGGTTGGGAAACTGATTCCCTAAGAACCTAGGATGCCAAATGAGTCTAATGGATATTCTGAGAGTGGTACTATATTCTAGAGAATGTACTGCCTTTCCCAGTATTAGCCACATAAAACTAATTCTGTGATAAAAATGCACAACTCTTCTGGTGTCTTTTTCTCCTCTCCAACTCCCCTACCCTACAGCATACTACCAGTGAAAATAGTTGTCCTCTTTGCGAACTATTTTGGAAGCCCCCATGTCATGGATAGCTTCAAAGGTCGAGCGAAGAAGGACTGAAAAAGCGCAAAATTCAGAGACCAGCAACTCTAAAGTGGACCTTGTTAAAGGTGGTGGTGGTGGGAAAGGTCTGCTTCTCTAGCGGCTGAGAACTTAAGGTGCCTCACTTCTCCTGACTAACAGATTTTTTTAAGAAAAGATCTTTTTAGTTGGCTCTTAATCAACAGTTTTCACCCAGTGAACTGTTTTCTTTTCACCTCATTATGGAAATACATTAATTGAAATTAGTTCCTTTGGTTACGTCTGTTATAATGCCTTAAATATGACCCTGCATCACAAACTAATAGTTGGCAACTTTTGGGGGAGAAGGGACCAAGAAGCCACGTGTATTTGGCAGGGAGCCTGGAAAGCCTTTACTGAACCTGACTTCTCCCTGCCGTTCACTGAACCATGAGGAGGGGCTGTACTGCCGGTGCCATTACCACTCCCTGGTCAACTGAGGAATTTGAGAGTTTCCTGAAACAACAGATTTGAATTTATACAAATTGAAGTTTTGTGAAATGAAAATATCTGCTGTGATGGTATAAATCCAGTGGAAATATATTCATTTTGGGAGGTGGTGATCTCGGGACTCAGATGTGCGGGCAGGGAGGGGAAAGGATGTAAATGACGTATTTACGCTGCTAATCTACTTTTTGGCTAATTTATTTTAAAAGCTAATACTATGACTGCAACTTCGTAGTAGTAGGTCTTTGTGTCTTCTACATGCAGTATTTTAAGGACAATTTTCATCTCCCAAGCAGAATAAACTGTAGGTATAAAGCATAAGGCTGCCAGTCTAGCTGAGCTCTCAAACATCTTGCCAAGTAAGACAGCGAGCGGCTACAGGCGGAGGTCAGGGCTTCTCTGGGGATTATTTCAGAAAGGAATGATGCCGGTAGAGCTGGAGCGGAAGGGATCGCTACAGGCACAGCTTGAGTAACGGTACTGTGTTTCGCTTCTTGAACTGGGCGGCAGGTTGCCTCGTGCCTGCAGAGTTTCACTTTCCCTTTACTCTAAGGACTGTCCATTTGTTTTAGATGTGCATTGAGGAGGCCTTGCCCCTTTTTGACAGTGGCCTGTTAGAAAACTGAAAGCCCCTTTGACTTTTGGTAAATCCAAAACGAGAAGAGGGAAGATTATACACCTGAAATGCATGCCATTTATGTACGTGCTGGCCAAGGCCACCTCGTGTCACAGTACTGGCAGTCGGTAACACCGGCAAACTGACACTAAAATGTGCATTAGCACGCAATTAACTGAAGGACAGTATGGAGAAAAGGGTGATATTTTAAAATGGTTGGGTTTTTTTCTCCTGTGATGGCCTAGATACTACCTTAATTTCCCTTGTCTGTACAATTAGTGAGGCTTAGCGGGGAAGAAAAGTTCGTCGAGAGCTGCTTTACGACTGATGAGCAAGAGACACCGAGTAAAACAAGCGTGTTAAAAATGGCCTTAACCTTTGTGATGGATTGAGGAGAGTTAGAATTCAGACTGATGGTTTGTCTTACTGTCCTTGCAGCTTTTCTACCTCAGAAGTTCTGCTCATTTTACAGTACACTTCAGGAAATTAAAATTGCTAATTAGAAAACAGGTATTACCTAAATGTGCTGACCCACATGTACGCTGCATTGTTCACTGGCAATAAAGTCAACCACTAACAACTGTGTGGTGTATTGCAGACTCCTCACCTTCTTACACTAACGGAGCACATTCTTCCTCCCGACTGAAATACTAGGTGTGCAGGATTCTGGAGCAAAGGAGAAGGGGATTATACATGCGAACAGGATGTATCAACCTCCAGCTCCTGTGAGAGCAAGTAGCTTTTCATTCTGACTGTCTCTGCGAACATGCTCTGCTGAGGGGAGCTGAAAGCAATCAGTTTGGCTGTGGGATTTGTGGGTTCTCAAGATGTTCAGGCTTGTCATGCCACTCAGAGAATCACAGGATGGTTTGGGTTGGAAGGGACCTTAAAGATCATCCAGTTCCAACCCCCCTGCCATGGGCAGGGACACCTTCCACTAGACCAGGTTGCTCAAAGCCTCAGGATTTTCCCTGATATCCTCTGCCAGAGAAGTACATCTCCCTAGGGATTTTACTACTTCACAGAACTATTGAGCTTGGAAGGGACCTCTGCTCAGAGCCAGGTCACTTAGGGTTACTTAGTACTGTCAAGTTTTGAATATCACTAAGGCTGGAGACTCTACAACGTCTCTGGGCAACCTGTTCCAGTGTTTGTTCACACTCAGTTTATAAACAAATAAATGAAAATTATGTTTAAACTGAATGTACTTTTTTCCCAATTGCCTCTTCTCCTTTCAGTGGATACCATTACGAGTCTGGCTGTGGTTTACACCTTCCCATCGGGTACTCATGCACATTGAGCCTGGGCCTTTTCTTCTCTAGGCTGAGCAGTCCCAGCTCCCCCAGCTTCTGCTCGCTAGTTGCCCTGGTAGGAGTACGCAAATGCTGCTTTCATCCCAGCGTGCTGCTACCGCTTGAGTGTGATGATCGCTGTCGGATTCCTTCGCGTGGCTGGAGAATAACAGCCCGTCCTGTGGGTGGTTTTGGTCTCCCACATTGCCCGAGATGGCACAACAGGTATGGAGAGTTGTATCCTGGAGGTCGAGCAGCATAAATCCTGCCCCTGTGTAGGTAGTATAGGATGAATGTTTGGATCTTCAAGTGATGTATGAACTTCCTGAGATAAAAGATGGCTCCTTTCCAGCAAAACAATGATCTTGACTGATTACTTTCCCAGCGCTGAGGACTTTTTCTTCCTGCTCTCAGCAAGAAAACTCACAGAAGGATTGCTGTGAGACCCAAACAAGAAGATAGAATGTGAAAGAGCTGCTCAGTTGTGACAGCGTCATGTTTGACAACAGAAGGGGGCTGCATTCCGAAGTGCATCAGGCGGCTCCCACACAGGAATTCGTGGCTTCGTGACCATTGCATGAAGCTCTAAATAGTGTCTAACAAAATGACTGGGAGGGCTGCATTGGCTTGACAGTCACCGACACAGTGATTCAAAGACTGTCCAGAACATGGTCTTTTGTTGCCTGTGGCACTTCTTTTCCATGTCACTTCATATTCCTGCAGTAGCAGAAATCTTACTGTCCCTCTCATGCTTTGAAGCTGGAGAATATTTTTCTTGGCACTAACTTGAACTTCTGAACAAGACTGAGGAGGAAAACAACAACAAAAATATAGGAGCTGATATACCGGTGCTACTATTATGTACTTTATGAATTTGGAAATCATACACGAGAGCAATATGCAGCTACTTGGAAACTGGTCTTTGTGGTGGTCTGATCTCATTTCAGGAAGGAACCAAGCCGATACCTCTTTTCTGGTAACTTTCCTCGGAGCAGTTGATCCTGAAGACACTTATGTGGGCTGCATGCTTTGCTAAGGATCATAGAATCTCAGAATGGTTTGGGCTGGAAGGGACCTTAAAGACCATCTAGTTCCACCCCCCCTGCCATGGGCAGGGACCCCTTCCACTAGACCAGGTTGCTCATCCAGCCTGGCCTTGAACACTTCCAGGGATGGGGCATCCACAGCTTCTCTGGGCAACCTGTTCCAATGCCTCACCACCCTCTCTGGGAAGAACTTCTTCCTGATATCCAATCTAAACCTCCTCACTTTCAGTTTAAACCCGTTACCCCTTGTCCTGTCACTACAGGCCCTTGTAAAAAGTCCCCCCCAGCTTCCTTGTAGCCCCTTCAGGTACTGGAAGGCTGCAATACAAGTCTCCCCGGAGCCTTCTCTTCTCCAGGCTGAACAAGCCCAACTCTCTCAGCCTGTCCCCATAGCAGAGGTGCTCCAGCCCTCTGAGCATCTTCGTGGCCTCCTCTGGACTTGCTCCAACTGGACAATATCCTTCTGATGTTGAGGGCTCCAGCTGCCCAAAACCATAGGCTTTCTAAAATAACAAAGTAAGTTTGCTGTGGCAGCTGGAAGAGACAGGTTTGTGTCCACAGCACTCAGATATTCCAGGGGAATGCAGAACTACTGGCTCTCTGGTGAGACTTAGGAGGGTCATTGATGCTTCAGTAGGTGGGGGAGCATTACAGGCAGCAGCTTTTGTCCACTCAGTGTATAACACACTCCCTCTGTAGTCCCTGACTGATCTTCCCTCTGCTTGCCAAAGCCACCAAGCTCACGGCCTGAAGTTGTGCAGATAGCATGTGACTTAGGAAAACATAGTTTTGTCTAGGGAAGAGGGGTGAAAAAAACCCCTTCACGTCTTCTTGCCTTGCCCTCAGCAATATTCACAGGAGGAACAAGAGTGTCCTTATGACTGCGACAGAGATGTACAGGAGGGGGTATGACAGAGGCATAGGCTGTATGCCAAGGTGCCTTGCAGTGACGGGTCTGCTGGGTAGTTACTGCTTGATCAAAACAAACCTTGAATATTGATTGGTATAGCTGTGTTGGGAGACGTCATCCTTACCCAAGGTGAGGAATAACTACATCTATCTAAGGAAACATGGTTCTGCAGGACTTGTACTGGGGTAGTCGTCCAGTCTCCCTACCCAGGAGGGAAGAAGTACAGAAAAGACTCCGAGGGGCAGTGCCCTATGACAGGGTCTGGCATATTCTCACACTTCCTCCTCTGTGTCTTGAGATCCAGAGGCAGCATCCCTGGCTGTGGCACAGAACAAAGAACCAACAGAACCAGAACACAAGCTGCGGCAACAGCAGTGCCAGCAGATGCAGCCAACAGCAAAAGAAGAGGTTATAGAATCATAGAATCACAGAATGGTTTGGGTTGGAAGGGACCTTAAAGACCATCTAGTTCCAACCTCCCTGCCATGGTTACTGTTCAGGTTCTCACTGAACAAGTTGTGACCGTTGCCCCACAAACTTCACGCCCTGAAGATGCCGTGATTCAGGCTATTAATTGATGCAGTCCTACTGGGGGGGGAACCTGCATCACCTGTATTAAGCGCATCACTGTCAAAGCAGCTTGCTCAAGAGATTAATGCAGAGTGAGATGCAGTAGCTGAGGAAGCTGT